AAATGGCCATAATTATTGTTCCTTTAGAAGGAACAGTGATTTGTTTTGGGAAAAGAACTTCATGGTAATCAAATTGATTCCTCATGATCTTCCAAAACAATTTCTAATTTAACTTCTGATAACAACATTGTCATTAAGAAAACGAATCCATTTAATACACAGCGTTTCTTTCAAGGCTTCTTTCTGTGATATATGCACAAGATGACATTTTTTTGGTCGAGGTTATAATGTATTACCAATTGAGCTATGATTAGGTTCACTACCGAAATTTTTAGCAATCAAAATGTGTCCCAATAGCTATTAGGCAAAAGGACCAACTGATATAGGAGCACATTTCCAGGAATACGGAGCTTAAATCAGGGGGTTGGGGAATGGGAGAAGGGGGTGTAAAGAAAAATTACCGCATTATCCTCATCAGGATCACTTCTAAATACATAGAATAGAGGAGCTAAAATTTCATTCATCCCTTGAACATATCTAATTCCTGGATTCAACTTTGCAAATACAATTAAGATGTTTCTCAGAGCCTCCTGAAAGTACAAAGCACAATTAACATAAGATAATCGTCTTAACCTCTATAAAACTAATAACCCATGCCAATTATTTATGCCATAATCAAAGACTGGCCTGATTAGATTTTGCAAGTGATGAGTCCCCAGAGAAGAAGTGCATATCTGGATGAGTACGCATCACATCTCGGTCAATCTGTTCTATAATCTCAGAGTCCTAACATGTATGTGATAAATTAGACTAGATTGACGTAATAACACATGTTCATACTGTTTTATCAATGTAAAACAGTGCAAACAGAAAAATACGAATGAAACACAGAGACAGGTTATGACTAATATATTTTTGAAGTAAATATAGAAATTTGGTGAGAGCACGACGTTCGTAAAATCAAGTATAAGCATATTTTTCCATAACATGAAGACGTCTGATGATTTCTATCATGGCCAAGGCTCAGAAAAAGCAGGTCATCAAATGACTTAGAGGGGAGGGAAATTTCTCATAAATGTCAACTATCAGGATCTCAATATACAACAAATTATAAATTTCAAGTACTACAAACTTATCAACACCAAAACATGTTTTCCAAATTAAATTCTCCAGTCTTGAGTTCCCTCTTCAATTCTATGTAAACTTACAAGGGTCCAGTTGCATAAACAGTTGACCTCTTCATAAGCTTGATTTTTCCCAATTAATAATATTTATCATGAAATAATCCCTAGAAGAAAACTCATAGAGAATGATCACATAAATGATATACTCAAGTTCATCTGAAAAATAAAAAAAATTTCATTATGGCATGATTATTCTAAAATCAACAAACACCATTCCATCCTCTAAGAGAAGAAGAAAAGATTTAGTTATTTAGTTTAGGGTTCGAATCAACACAACTACTTCAGTCCAAAGTTCACCAAAGATGTGAATGAAAATCTCATCGTACACTTGAAGGATTCTGATTGACAGAAGGTTACAGTTTACAGAATTACTTGGATGAAGAGTTCAATACAGAGAGGCCCAGTAATTTTACATAAACACTTTTGCTACGAGTACATTACTATAATGGATTTCTTAAGATTAGAACTGGGATAAAAATTGTATCCACAAGTTTAATAATAAAGGATACCTGGAAGTACTGATTCCAAATGCTGGTTTTCCCAAGACTCAAAGGATGTTCCTCTTGACTTATTTCTAACCTTGAGAGTGGACCTCTGTTCGTTTCATCATGCTCGTAACTTTTCGCTTTCTCCAACCTCCTTGAAATTTCTGACTGACTAGCCACAAAAACAGTAAGAATACTATGTTTGTACATACAAACAGACAGTACTGATTGCAGCATATCATTTTTTGCTTTGTTTACCGTATGGTAACAAATTTGAAGAAGAATCATGTCGATTAATTAGAATATGAATAAAACAACTGATAATGTATGTATTTTGTGAAAGGAAAAGAGAAATGCTGTCATATGATGTACCACTGTACAGAATTAAATACTTTCTAAATTGGTGAGGACCCACAATAAAGTAGATAAAAAGGAATACAATCCGAAGAACAGAAAAAAAAAAAAAAAAAAAAAAAAAAAAAAAAAAAAAAAAAAAAAAAAAAAAAAAAAAAAAAAAAAAAAAAAAGTGAAAAGGGGGTCACAAAATTAAGACAATGAGAATTAAATTCTTGATTAAGAAATTGTCACTATCAATCTAGAAATCCAATTTTGGGAGAGGAAATGAAGAAAATTGGATGCAATTCTTTCATTTTCATTTCCAATTGGTCGACAAGACCTTTCTGTCCTCAAAGCTAAGTGATCAGCCCCTAAACCACGGACAACTAAATGAATCCCTCTACAAAATGTTAGAGACCAAAATGGAGAGTACAAGTTCCACAATATGACTTACAGGATTCATCAAAAGCTCTTCTTTAAAATGCTTGTATTGAGACCTCTTTTTAGCTAACTCAGACGTCCAGAGCGCACGATCTGGTGGCAGATAACCCAATAGGAGCTGTGATCAATCAAACGAACCGATCACAATTTATTTTAGACTCTTCACGAAAAATCTAGTTAAATTTTCTCCAGCAGATAATTTTGACGCACAATAAAAACTATTGAATACATACTTTCCAGACGGTTGAACGAATTCCTGGACCATCCGATATACCCTGAGACGCAATTTTACGCAATTCACGTAGATTTATGACCTTCTTCGATAGCTGCCATCCAAAAGATATGAAACAATCAACAACTAAAAGAAATGAGAATAATGAACAATCCTAACATGCACAAGATCACACTAAAATGCAAACCTCAACAAGAAGCTGTGCCTGGCGAGATACGTCCTCAGCAGAAGGGCCAGAGGAAGTGTCATTATCGTCGTTGCTCACATTGTTATTAACCCTGGAGTCTCTAGTATCCGACTTGGGAGACTCGGTTCTAACGACGGTGCTCGCAGACGGAGGAGGAACCGGAACCGGAGGTTCAACGACGGGTTCCGGCGACGACGTGGTGGTGGCCGGCTCCGAAGTGTAGCGGTGGAGGCGATCGTCGTCAACAGGAGTGGAGGACCAGAGAGAGCTATTGAGCCAATCCGGCACACGTTTCTTCACCATATTTTGCTCCGTTGCGAACGAATTCACAACAAAATTACTGCAATAATTTGCGATGAATCGAATTCGACCGATTGAGATTGTCTTCAACCTCTCGCTTCGATTGCTAGGGCTCCGAGCTCAGATTTTTCCATTTTTCCTCTCCGATTTAATTATTCGTTAAACATCTTTTTCTTGAGTTTGCCGTTGCCTCTCTGAAAAAAAGGGGACTCTGTGGACGAAAGTGGGAGAAGGTTCGGAAAAACTTGGGTAACCGAGGAACACAAGAAATTTCGCGACCGACAAATGAAATAACGCCGCGTCATTATATTGAAAATTAAGGTTTTAAAATTATTCAACGGGGGTAACAAATAGTTCACTCCTTTTAAAGGGTTTTCTTTTTGTTGACAAAAATCTAATCCTAATGAATGATTAAACTTTTCAATTTTATATAATAAATTTATGTTTTGTACATCCTTTTAACTAAAAAAAAAATTAAATTTATTAAATACAGACACGAAGGTTTGAAGACCCATAAAGTAGATATTGTCTGCTTTGGTATTGTAAATCTCATGACTTTAAAACGCGTTTACAAGGGAGAGGTTTTTGATATGAGATCTCACAATCCACCTTCCCTTGAGCTTAGTGTCTTTGCTGGCACACCGCCCGACATATTGTTTTGATACCATTTGTAACAGCCTAAGTCCATTGCTATCAGATATTGTCCGCTTTGGTCCATTACGTATTATTATAAGCCTTAAGGTTTTAAAACGCATCTAGGAGATATTTCAATACCTTTGTAAGGACTGCTTCATTCTCCTCTTCCATTGATATGAAATTTCAGATAAACAATTGGTGACTCAAGCAATCCGAATAAACGTCATAACCCAACTCAACCCAATACTCCATTTTCGGGTTGGGTTGAGTTGGGTTGTCGGTTATTTTTTATTTTATTATTTTAAAAAATTAAACTTATACACACCATGCATGTTACATTAATAACTAAAATTTCATAAAACTCAAATATCAAATATAAACATGTCATAATATCGATGGCAAATGTTAAATATTTTTAATATATTAAAAAGTAAAGTTGAGTTGAATTAATTATAATCTTATTTTCGAGTTGGTCAACTTGACCATACTAAAAAAAATGTCAACCCAAGTCAACCCAACTCGATTTTTTTTTTTAACCTAACCCAACTTTTTTATGGTTTAGTTTGGATAGTCTGTATTGGACGTGTTATCGAGTTATATGAACACCCAAAGTTATATAAATATTGAAATTAGGGATCTTTTATCTCGAGATCATCCAAAATAATGGTTGATTTGGGGCCAGTGACCGTAAGGTTTATGGGTTGTGAGAATCTCATTAGCTAAAACTACGAGAAAGTTTGTTTGAACCGTTAAGAATATTGAAGAACAAACGATAGAGAATTGAGAACCAAGTACGATTGACAATATCAGTCGAATTGAACAATTTTTTAAAATTTTTTATTTAATTTTTTTCATATTATATATTATTTTACTGTTGTAAAAAAATATTGTTCTATATGATATTTAATGATTAAAGATTATTTCCAAATTTTGTTACCATAAATCACGTAATCAATCACAAAATATAGGATAATTAATGCAAAATTTGGAAATAATTTGTTTGTTATTATTATTTTATTTTCATTTTCTAACACGAATGAACTAAAAGACTAATTTACCACAATAAATAGCTGACTCACTTTATTTTTACTTATATTAATTACCGAAACTAAATAAAATAAAATTATTAAATCACAAAAATTTCATACCATTTTTTACCAATCAAATTATTACATTCCTTTTGGGGCTTCGAAAAAAACTTCCCAAAATTAAAACATAATTTCAGCTCCTTTTTAAGGAACCAGAAGCTTGGTTTTGGTCTTCAATGGAGGAACCAAAATTACAGAGAAAATCCATTCCGATGAAGAAAACTCTCGGCCGTCAAAAGATCGAAATCAAGAAGCTAGAGAAGAAGAGCAGCAAACAAGTGACGTTTTCGAAGCGCCGTGCCGGACTTTTCAAGAAGGCCGGCGAGCTTTCTGTGCTCTGCGGAGCAGAGGTTGCCATCATCGTCTTCTCTCCGAATGATAAGGTTTTTTGTTTCGGTCATCCGAATGTTGACGTGCTTTTGGATCGGTATCTGACCGGGAATTTGTCACCGCCGAAGCCGGCGGAGAGTTACGTTCCTGTAGCGGAGTTTAATCGCGATTTTGCCGATTTAGTATTGGAGTTCGAAGCGGAGAAGAAGCGAGCAGAGGAATTGATTCAGGCATCGGAGGAGTCAAGAAATAGCGGCGGATTTTGGTGGGAGGAGGCGGTGGAAGGGATGAGGTTGGAGGAATTGAAGGAGTTCCGATCGTCATTGATGGATTTGAGAGCTAAAGTGGCGGAGAAAGTCGAGAAATTGACGGCGGTTAGAATCGGAGGACCTCTGTTACCAGCGCTACCGCCACCGCCACCGCCGATGATGCCGCCGTCGTTTCACCTTGCCGGGAACCACCATGTCGCGACGGGATTAGGATTTTTTTAGATTTTTTGAGTTATTTTTCTCTACATTTTATTTACCTATAAACTGTTTATAGAGTGATCTCCACCGGATTTTAATGCTTGGATCGTGTAATAAGCTCGTGAGAGTACATATTTAGTGATATGATGCGACTGAAACTCCAAAACTCCGACGCCGAAGAAAGCAAAAGAATGGAGGAAATAATGAAAATAAAAATAAGTAAAAATCCGACCTGTGGGATTCAAACCACTCTACCAACTGAGCTAAGGTCGGATGTTGATGTTAAATAGCTCTTAGAAATATCTTTCGACTAATTCACGATATTTTTTATTTTATTTATTTAGAAAAGTCAACGAAAATATAGTGACTAAAATACCCTTTATTTGGTCACATATTCCAAAGGTAATGAAGAGAAAGTTCATAGCTTCCTTACATTGAGAACAACTCCATTTTCAGGCTCCATAACAAATGTGTAGACAGGGGAATGCTTGTAAGAAGGTGAAAGAGAAAACTCAAACCTTGACAAAACAAGGCTCAGTATCACTTTCACTTCGACCAATGCAAAATGTTGCCCGGCGCACACGTGCGGGCCGATCCCGAACGGCATGTAAGCATAAGGATTCTTGCAAGCGTTAAGGATACCATTGCTGAACCTATTTGGATTGAATAAGTGTGCATCAGGTCCCCAAAGACGAGTATCTTGGTGCATGATTGCGATAGGGATTTGAATGTTTATGCCTTTTGGAACTATAATGTTTTTTAACTTTATGTCTTCTAATGTTTGTCTTGTGACAAGAGTTCCGGGTGGACAGAGTCTCAGTGTCTCATGTATCACCATTGCCAGCTGCAAACAACCATAAATTAGAATTGTAAATCAGAGTTTTGACGTTAGTAGGCAATCATAGGAGGAATACCGTCTTCATGTTCTTAACGGTATCTGCATCGACAGGCCGATCTCGACAACATTGAAGCACCTCCGAACGAACACGAGCTTGCCAATCCGGATGTGCTGCTAGTAACATCAAGCACCATGATGCTGTTATTGCCGTCGTCTCTTGACCAGCAAAGTATATATTTTTGCAGTTATCGACAATGAACTTGTCCCGAGTTATATTCAACGACTTGTCATCTTCTTTGAGATTTTTCGCACCCTCGAGAATCTTTTGCAACAAGTCTTGTTCGTTTGAACGGCTCTCGATTCGTTCATTTACCACTTTTAAAATTAATGACTCGATTTCCTTCTCTAACTTCCAAACTTCTCTATTTTTTTTGGTGGGGAAGTACCTGTAAGATGAAAAGTTAATCGAACATCTGACCTTTCGATCGAGTATATATGTCTTAGCTAGTTGAGTTTCAATTTGACAAACATTCACAGTTCTTAAAATAAGAAGTCGTGAGGCATATTACGAACTTGTACCTGTAACCTGGAATACCGATGCTTTCTTTGGCCATGATAACTTGAAGAGCTCTAATTTTTTCGAATATCTCTTTCCCTTTGGAATAATCGCTTCCAAAACAGGCCTTCGAGATAATATCGGAAGACATGGTTCGAAAATATCCATCGACGTTCATTTCCGATTGTCCTCCATCATTCTCAACCTTTGCTTCCCATAATCTTAGCATGGAGTTCATGCATTCCACCATCAGACTTGTCATGCCCTGAAAATTCAAGATTTTGGAATAATATCTTAAGCTCCGAACTAAATTCATGTTTTTCATGTTTTTTTTTTTCTTAAAAGGTGGAAATTTTTTTCTCGCAAATGTGTTTAAAAGCCATGAGGTTGACGATGATACATAACGGGCCAAAACGGATAATATTTGCTAGCGATGGACTTAAACTATTACAAATGGTAACAAAGCTAGACACTGAGTAGTGTACCCCCTCATACCCCCTCCCACGTGCGCGCTCCTGCTTACCCCATCCTATGCTTAATACATGTCTTACAAACGCTCCATGCACCCTTACACTATTGGGAAGGAGTCCCACATTGACTAATTTAGGGAATGATCATGAGTTTATAAGTAAGGAATACATCTCCATCTTCATTGGTATGTTGAGGTCTAATGGGAAAGCCCAAAGCAAAATCCATGAGATCTTATGCTCAAAATGGACAATATTATACCATCGTGAGATCCGTTATTCCTACCATACACACTCATCATTCCCACCAACATCCTCTAAGACAAACACACCGAGGACGCTAGGCTCGTAAGGGGCGGATGGCAAAGTATACCTAAGTTGAAGCCAAGCTATTTTTGTTGAAGGGAAGATTTATAAGAATTCCCATTATACCTCGACTTTATCATGGTAGAGTTGAGGAGCAATGATCTTCCTTTGGAGAACCCAAGTTGGGCCACTAGCTGACAAAATACCCAAGCCGAATAACGGCCCAAGATCCTTCCACAAGTAATCAGGCTTCCCCAAACTCAACGACGTCGACATACTGATTTCCTTCACCGTCTCTATCTCCGTTACACACAGTGTCTGAACCGTCCCGCTCGAAAACGCGAAATTCAGCCCTAAAATCCCCAAACACAATCAATCAACAAACAAATCAAACAAAAACCTTCCAAATTCTAAATCCATTACCGTATCGATTCCGCCACACCTCCAAATGCGGGAACGGGTTCGAAGCCCAACCATGCGTAACCGAATTAGCTTCCGTGCTCTTCGCCGCCGAAGTTAGGGCTCCGATTTTCTTGATTTCAGAGACGTTTCCGATGAGGAATGACGGCGTAGGACCGCCGATTCCTTGTTTACGGAGCTTCGCTCTTAGTCTCTCCGGCTTCCATAAGAACGATTCGAGAAGGTGAAGAAAAATGAAGATGAAAAGAAGCACCGCCAGAGAGAGTACCATCGCCGCCGCCGCCGCCGCCGCCATTAGAGAGAGACCTGGTTCGAACTCTGATTTTGGCTTTTTAAATTTCGATTTAGCTTCGAATTTGGCAGGCGCATGCATGTGTTACACTTAGAAATTGTTGAAACAGAATTTTTGGCTCTTTATTTTTATTATGTTTTGTCTTTTTGTCAAGAATACGCTGTCACGATGATTATGGATAAGAATGTTAATTATGTTAATAAAATGGGATAAATTAATAAAAATGTTCACAAAAAAAATATATGTATCTTTAACAAACTTTCATGAGTATTTTATTTAAAAAATATTATTTTAATCGTACTTGAAAAATGTCGATGAAATTTTAAAAAATAGTGTTATTGGAAGAAAAATTATAAGAATATTTTTAAGATAGAAGGTAAAATTAAATGGTATTTTTATTAATTTAGCCTAAAATAAATATTATTAATTCAATTTAAACTATTTTTTCTTTAAAATCAAATTAGGATGAACGGAAGTATTTAAATTTATTGTTAATTTTAAAAAATATATATACGCATATATATTTATTTTATTTTTTAATTATTTATTCTTTAATCTCGTATTTTTTATTTTCGTTCCTTTATTTTTTGGGAGATCAGAATTTTTTTAAAAAAAATTGTTTTTATTTTTTGTAAAATGGTTCTTCCCAAAAACTTCTATACATTTTAAAATATATTTTTTATTATAAAAATGTAAACACAAAAAATATATATATATAATTTAATAATAATATTTATAAGAAACTGTAAATAAATTATAATTAGCTGAAATAAAATGAGGGATAATTTGTAAAAAGTTAAAAAATGTAATTATAAAATAAAGTATATTATTTGTTTCTATTATATTTTTTTAAAATTAAAATGGGATGATTTTTCTTTTTAATCAAAACTAATTGTCGATGAATGATAATTAAAGTGTTTAGACTAATCCTTAACGCTGACTATTGTTGTTTGTCACTTAAGCTCTCTTAAGTCAAATACGAAACAATAAATTGTAGTAAACTACGGTTGACCAAAATAAGTTAAATTAGGTCCCTAAGATCATCTTGGATTGGAAGCGCATTTAGAACATACACAAAGGAAAAACAGGTCGGCTAAGGCTTGACCTTTCGATAGGTGACCATTTGGGCTTCAAGCCCTTGGTTTGGTATTCTCACGACCCAATGAGACCGCAAAGTGGGTTGCCTTAATTGGCCTCGGGTCCACTTGAGCTCGAGACTGTTTCACTCCCAAGGCTCTCTCCCTAGCTTAACCCGACCAAAAAAAATGAACTCACAAACCAAACCAAATTTTAGATTTTCTAAATCTCAACCCAACCCAGTCTAGAAAAAAAATATAACTCAACCACACTGTTATTGAAATTGAGGATTTTTCATCCCCGGATATCATATAAGATAATGGTTGACTTTTTTAGTAAAGTCAACGATAAACTAAGCACGAGGACTAAGCTTGCATATTTGAAAATATAAAGACTAAAATACCCCTACATAGAAATAAAATAATTTTTACCTTTACGAAAATTAAGCTTACCATTTGAAAATATAAAGACTAAAATACCCCTTTATTTCATCGCATATTCCAAAAGTAATGAAGAGAAAGTTCATAGCTTCCTTACATTGAGAACAACTCCATTCTCAGGCTCCATAACCAATGTGAAGGCAGGGGAATGCTCGTAAGAAGGTGAAAGAGTAAACTCAAACCTTGATAAAACAAGGCTCACTATCACTTTCAGTTCAACCATTGCAAAATGTTGCCCGGCGCACACGTGTGGGCCGATCCCGAACGGCAGGTAAGCATAAGGGTTCTTGCAAGCGTTAAGGATGCCATTGCTGAACCTATTTGGATTGAATAAGTGCGCATCAGGTCCCCAGAGACGAGCATCTTGGTGCAGGATTAAGATCGGGATTTGAACGTTTACGCCTTTCGGAACCATAACGTTTTTGAATCTTATGTCTTCTAATGTTTGTCTTGTGACAAGAAGTACGGGTGGAAAGAGCCTCAATGTCTCATGTATCACCATTGCCAGCTGCAAACAACAATAAATTAGAATTGTAATTTAGAGTTTTGACGTTAGTAGGCAAGCATAGAAGGAATACCGTCTTCATGTTCTTAATGGTATTTGCATCGATAGGCCGATCTCGACAACATTGAAGCACCTCCGAACGAACACGAGCTTGCCAATCCGGATGTGCTGCTAGTAACATCAAGCACCATGATGCTGTTATTGCCGTCGTTTCTTGACCAGCAAAGTATATATTTTTGCAGTTATCGACAATGAACTTGTCTCGAGTTATTTTCAACGACTTGTCATCTTCGTTGAGACTTTTCGAACCCTCAAGAATCTTTTGCAACAAGTCTTGCTCGTGTGAACTGCTCTCGATTCGTTCATTTACCACTTTTAAAATTGATGACTCGATTTCCTTCTCTAACTTCCGAACTTCTCTATTTTTTTTGGTGGGGAAGTACCTATAAGATGAAAAGTTAATCGAACAGCTGACCTTTCTATCGAGTATATATGTCTTAGCTAGTTGAGCTCCGATTTGACAAACATTCACAGTTCTTAAAACAAGAAGTCGTGATGCATATTACGAACTTGTACCTCAAACCCGGGATACCGACACTTTCTTTGGACATGATAACTTGAAGAGCTCTAATTTTTTGGAATATCTCTTTCCCTTTGGAATAATCGCTTCCGAAACAGGCCTTCGAGATAATATCGGAAGACATGGTTCGAAAATATCCATCAATGTTTATTTCGGATTGTCCTCCATCATTCTCAACCTTTGCTTCCCATAGTCTTAGCATGGAGTTCGTGCATTCCACCATCAGACTTGTCATGCCCTGAAAATTCAAGATTTTTCCAAATTGAGTAAAACATATGGATGAAATAATTTTTAAAACTGAATTAAGATTTTAAACTTTAGTTGAATGACTATCATGATTTGAACGGGTTCTCTCCAAGTCTTTGAGTGAACACTTGTGAGATCCCATATTGATTAGAGAGTGGAACGAAACATTATTTATAAGGGTGTGAAACTCTTTTTCCAGTAGACGCGTTTTAAAACCGTGAGGCTGACGGCTATACATAACGAGCCAAAACGGACAATATTTGCTAGCAATGGACTTGGACAATAACAAATGGTATCAGAACCAAACCCCCCGCGTGCCTTACCCCATCTCTCGCGCCAAGCCTTATCTTATGCTCAATACATGCCCCACGCACCCTTACACACTCATCATTTCCACTAACACCCCAACACAAACACACCTATAAGTTCTTGTTCACACCATGGAATACATGCCCCCTTCAAAGCATGCATGGCTAGAGAGGTGGATTGTGAGATACGAACATACATGCCCCCTCCAAGGCATGCATCGCATGACTAGCCAACGAAGATGCTAGACTCCAAAGAGATAGATTATGAAATCCCACATTGGTTGGATAGGAGAACGAACGACATGCCCCCCTCCAAGGCATGCATGACTGGCGAACGAGAACAATGGGTCCCTAAGAAATGGATTGTGGGATCACATTGGTGGGAGAGGGGAACGAACATACATGCCCCTCCAAGGCATGAATGGCTAGTCAATGAAGACGCTGGCCTCAAGAGATAGATTGTGAGATCCCACCTTAGCTGAGAAGGAGAACGAACATACATACCGCTCCAAGTCATGCGTGGCTTGAGAATACTAGGCTTCTTCGAACACTAAGCCCCTAAGGAGGGGATCGCAAATTATACGAAGTTGAAGCCAAGTTATTTTTGTTGAATGGAAGATTTATAAGAATTCCCATTATACCTTGACTTTATCATGGTAGAGTTGAGGAGCAATGATCTTCCTTTGAAAAACCCAAGTTGGGCCACTTGCTGACAAAATACCCAAGCCCAATAAGGGCCCAAGATCCTTCCGCAAGTGATCAGGCTTCCCCAAACTCAACGACGTCGACGTACTGATTTCCTTCACCATCTCCATCTCCGTTACGCACAGCGTCTGAATCGTCCCGCTCGAGAACGCGAAGTTCAGCCCTAAAATCCCCAAACAGAATCAATCAACAAACAAATCAAACAAAAACCTTCCAAATTCAAAATCGAATACCGTATCGATTCCGCCACTGCTCCAAATGCGGGAACAGGTTCGAAGCCCAACCATGCGTAACCGAATTAGCTTCCGTGCTCTTCGCCGCCGAAGTTAGGGCTCGGATTTTCTTGATTTCAGGGACGTTTCCGATGAGGAATGACGGCGAGGGACCGCCGATTCCTTGTTTACGGAGCTTCGCTCTTAGCCTTTCCGGCTTCCATAAGAACGATTCGAGAAGGTGAAGAAAAATGAAGAAGAAAAGAAGCACCGCCAGAGAGAGTACCATCGCCGCCGCCATTAGAGAGAGACCTGGTTCGAACTCTGATTTTGGCTCTTTAAATTTCCAATGAACTCCGAATTTGGCAAGCCGGCTCAATACAGAATTTTGGCTCTTTGTTTTTATTGTGTTTTGTCTTTTTTGTCAAGAATACGTCGTCGTAGTAATTATATAGAGATTGAATGGATAAGAATGTTATTTTAATAAAATTGAATATTTCATGCTAATTCGACGTATCTCAATTATATCATATTATTTAATATCATATCATAATATTTCATTCTTCTAGACCTAATCATTTTCATCATATACATATTATTCCATAACATATCGCATTACACTATATCATATCATAAACATGTCAATTAATAACATATTTATGGTCGAGAGATAATTGTGGGAAGTAATAAAAGATTAGTGAAGAGAAGTGGAAAAAAGTTGTTTCATTTTTATTTGTTTATTTTTATATTTTTTTCATTTTTTTTGGGCTATTATAAAAATAGTACAACTCAATTTAAACTATTTTTGAATTAAATTAATTTAAATTTATGGTCTTTCGTATAAACTAAACTGTGGAACTTAGCTATGTGTGCATATATTTATTTTATTTTTTAATTATTTATTCTTTAATCTCTTCGTATTTTTTATTTTATTTACCATCAGGTTCGTTTATTTTTTTGGGAGATCGAATTTCTGAAAATTTTTCATATTTTTATTTTTTTTAAAATGGTTCTTCCCAAAAACTTTTAATACATTTTAAAATATAATTTTTATTATAAAATGTAAACACAAACAAAAAAAAAATAATTTAATGTAGTAACAAAGTAATTTCTTAAAAAAAAACAAATTTTATTACTCATAAAAAAATCAATTTAGTTTTTATATATAAATAATAATATTTATAAGAAACTGTAAAGTTCATTGTTTTGGGCTCCAACTTCATGAATTGTGGGCCTATGGGCTTATTAGTCCAAACATCATGAATTGTGGGCCTGTGGGCTTATTAGTCCAAACATCATGAATTATAATTAGAGGGATAATTTGTAAGAAGTTAAAAATGTAATTTTAAAACAAAGTATATTAATTGTTTCTATTATCAATATATTTTTAAAAAATTAAAATTGGATGATTTTCTTTCCCATGAAACTTTTATATAGATTGGAATATCTCATCTAACCCTTTCCAATAAATAATTAAAACTAATTGTTAATGAACGATAATGAAAGTGTTTAGACGAATCATTAACGCTCACTATTATTGTTTGTCACCTAAGCTTTGATACTTAAGTCAAATACGAAATAATAACTTGTAGCAAACTAGGGTCGATTATACGTAACGGGCTAAAACAGACAATATTTATTACGATAGACTTGGACTGTTACAAAGGTATAAGAGTCAAACCTCGATCGCTCACGCCAAGCCTCATCCTATGCTCCATACATGCCCTATCAACGCCCTATGCACCCTTATTCATCATTCCCACTAACACCCCCCAACACAAACACACCTTATAAGTTCATGTTCACTCCTTGGATTACATGCCCTCTTTAAGGCATGCGTGGCTAGTCAGCGAGGACACCAGGCCTCTAAGGGGTGGATTGATTCGACATCAGTTGGAGAGGGAAACGAACATACATGCTCCTTATAAGGCATGCATGGCTAGCCAACGAGGACGCTGGCCCCAAAGGGTAAATTGTGAGATCCTACTTTGGCTGAGGAAGGGAACGAACATGCATGCCCCTCCCAGAGGGGCGTGGCTAGCCAGGTGTGGATAGCAAATTGATCAAACCATGTCTCCTAAGATTATCTTGGATTGGAAGTGTATTTAAGAGGTGGCCTCAGGTTCAACCTCTTCTATTTGGGCTTCAAGCCCTTTGTTTGATCTTACCAATCTAACCAGACCGTGACCAATAGAAAAACAGGTCGCCTCAAACTCGACCTCTTAGGTGGCCATTTGGGCTTTAAGCCCTTGGTTTGATAGGTTGGCTAAAAGATATTGATTTACCTTAGTTAGTCTTGGGTCAACTCAAGCTCCAAACTGCTGTGCTCTCAAGCCTGTTTGTGCCTTCCTTTTTTTCAGATTCATCTCTAACAATTTTGTACAATATAAATTTAAAATTTTAAATGGGTATAAAAATATTTAAAATATAAACAATAATTATTATTTAAAAAAACCAAAATTAAATAGAACAGCACCCACCTAGCCTGTTTTTTATTTAAACAAAAACGTATTTCATTTAAAACTTTATTCCTCGGTCATTTAAAACTAAAAACTAAATAATAATAATAATAATAATAATTACCATACTATTTGTTTTTTCATTCATTTTTTTTAGAAAGAGAGGAGAAGAGAGAGAAAGTGAAGGGCAAGCAAACTGTTCTCTTCCACTTCTTGAAACCCTAGACCTCTCTTTCGATCCTTCTCCATCAAACCCTACTGTTCTTCCCCCTTTCTCCTCCATTTTTTCACCTTCATTTCTTCTCCGTTTCCTTCGATATTCCCTAATCCAAATGACTTCCTCTGATTTCCGCGCCTAAATCAAACCCCTAATCTCTCTGTCTTCTTGCTCCCCAATCCAGGATTCGCCGCCGAGTTCTTCTTTTGGTTGAATTTCAATTCACGAGCTTTCATTCGTTGAAGACATGTATAGGGATCGAGGAGGCGGAGGAGGAGGGATTGGTGGTTCTTCGAAATCGGAGATCGTAGGTGGTACCTTGGATCGGAAGCGTATCAACGATGCTCTCGATAAGCACCTGGAGAAAACCTCTCCATCTACTTCAAGAGGTCTTCATAGTAAGGAGAAGGAGAGAGTCTCTGTGCCCTCGACTTCGGCTGGTAAACCACAGCTTGATCATCGTTCTTCGTCTCTATCCAAGAATAAATGTTCCGATGGTTAGTGTTGTTTTCTTCTTTTATTGTTAGTTTTGTATTGTTTTTGAGTTGTCAATTCGTGTGTTCTTCAGATGAATTTGACTATACGCTTGGAAATTTTGGAAAGCTTTAATCTCTAATTTTGTTTTAGTCTTGATCTGAGTCGTTTAATGTCTCTGTTCTGTGTTTTGAAAACTGCACATTGAAATGAAATGAACCGGGAGTTGCATTTTGCTATATGAACGTTCTTACTTTTGATTTTTGCCATCGAGTGTTGTCCAATGATAGAGTGGTACTTGGCTTCTGTCGCCGCATTATTTTCTCTAGTGATATTGTTGCTTCGGTTTGTCTTCTTCTTCGTCGTCGTCGTCATTTTTTTTCTTTAGTTTTTTTGTATCTAACAAATTTTCATTAATGGCAGAGGAATCTGAAACAGACAGCGAAGAATCAGATGTCAGTGGTTCAGACGGAGATGATACATCATGGATTTCTTGGTTTTGCAATTTGAGGGGAAATGAATTCTTTTGTGAAGTTGACGACGAGTACATACAAGATGATTTCAATCTTTGTGGCTTGAGCAGTCAAGTTCCATACTACGACTATGCACTTGATCTCATTTTGGATGTTGAATCTTCTCATGGTGAGATTTTCTTGTCCCACGCTGAATTTTGTTTTCTTGTTAGTCCTTTTGTGTTGTAAGAATGTATATCGCTGCCTCGTTGATCGGATGTCTTGGCTGAGTTTTCCATTGATCGATTTTTGTAAGACATTACAATCCATTTTTAGGAAGCCTAGTTCCTTTGAATGTATTTTCTTTACTAATTGGTTGATTTTTGAATCGTTAGTGAATTTCTTACCTATTTTTAGTATACCCTTTTTCTACAGTATAAAGGGGGCCTAAGAACATATACCTTTCGACATATTAGCAAGCCGCCTCTTACTTCTTTAGAAGAACAGTACTACTTCATAGTTCATACTTCCCATTTTTGTTCTTCTTTGTGCACGTCTGTTTTTCATTGACGTGCATTTCGCTGTTTCCCGTGATGTATTTGACCTATTTTCTGTGTATGGCCGTGCACAGGTGACATGTTCACCGAAGAACAGAATGAACTAGTTGAGTCGGCTGCTGAGATGCTGTATGGTCTTATTCATGTTAGATACATTCTAACTGGCAAAGGAATATCTGCAATGGTAATTTCTTATAAGGATTTCCTTTATTGCTTATTTTCCCCCAATGTTTAAATTGCTAACTAGAAAAAATACAGCTGGAGAAGTATAAAAACTATGACTTCGGAAGGTGCCCAAGAGTGTACTGCTGTGGACAACCATGCCTTCCAGTGGGGCAGTCGGATATTCCTCGTTCGAGCACTGTAAAGATATACTGCCCAAAATGTGAAGACATATATTACCCTCGTTCAAAGTATCAAGGCAGTATCCTTTTTACAATCTATCATGTCTTGTCCTTCTGCCTATTTTTTCCCCTTCTGTTGTAACTTTATTCTCATATATAATTATTTTGATTCTTTGCTGCACGTCTGCATGCTTGTTATTGAATTCAAAGTGAAGCTTGACCTGACTTGTTTTTTTTTAATGAGATTGATTTTTGCCGTGCTTTATTTTGTTTTTATTCTTCTAGTGTTTTTCTTTTCACAAGGATTCTTTTTTGTGATTAGAAGCCGAGTTCATGTTTTGAAAAGAAAATAATTGAGTCCCAATTTGATATATTGTTATGATCAACTGTTCAAGCAGTTTTAAAATTGGTTCATGGCCTTGATAGTCTTTAGTTGGTGATGTGTAGAACATTAGTTTAAGTAGTACAGTAGAACCATTGCAAAGGATGTCCTACCTTGCTGCATGATTATGGTCGTTGCATTCTCAATTGATTCATACACGAAAGATGATTGATCATGTTTGGTTCTACAATCTCATGAAGGGCATGCTTTTATTATTAATAGATAAACGATGGCCATTTGCCATGTTTCTTGGTTTATCGAGTGTGACGGTAATTCTGCAGTCAGTCTAAGATTCTCTGCAAGTTTTGCTTTTCTTGATATTTAGAGAATAAGGGTGGGTTTGGAATCATTTTGGGTGGGTGTCCAGTGCCTTCGGAAATTCTGTAATCACCGAAAATGAGTTTAGGAAGAGCACACAAGTAGTGAATCTATCAAAAGGGCAGATAGAGGAGTGACTTTCACTTGAGTGTCGTTTTCTTCTAAAGTCGTCCCGATCCTTGATCTGTGCTGTTTAGTTAGATTTGTCATCTTGGATATTCAATGGGCTGTAGATATAAATGGATCATATTTATAAGTCCCCTTACGAAGGGGTTGGGTATGGACGTGTTTCCATTTTTTACTACATGCTAGTCTTTGGCTTCTCTATTTCAGTAATGGTTGTGGAATCAAGTGGTGGTTGATGCTCTTAATCAAATATTGGGTAGTTTAGTTCCCTTATTCTTGTTACCTTTGCATTTGAATGCTTGCTAAATCAATCCTTTTATGAATCATTCATGCAATTGTTATTGCTTTGCTTGATGAAGTGTTAGTACCCACCTCTAGTTTCCTTCACTTGATCTAAGATATCGACGGAGCGTATTTTGGAACGACATTCCCGCACTTGTTTTTGATGACCTACGGACACCTGAAGCCACAAAAAGCCACACAGGGCTATGTTCCCAGAGTTTTCGGGTTCAAGCTTCACAAAAAGCATGACTGAGTTGGAAAGCTAAGCTGCACGTTGGGTCGAGATCTTCGATATTCATCCATTTTCAGATTCTGCGCTGACTGGCGCAATACTCTTCTAATACCTTTGGGACGCTGTTGATATGTGCTTATTACTCCTCATGGTCCTAACTATCAAGGTAAAAAGCAGTTGTTCAAAGTCTCAAAAAATGATCATTAAAGAAAAAATGTTCACAAATGCAAAGTTGTCATAGTAGCTGAACATGACTTCTTTTCTTCTTATTGTCGTTTCATGAATTAAAATGGTGTTTGTAAGTTTATTTCTCTTTATGGGTTGATAATCAAATTATTTGCTGTTAAGTCCTTGTACTTGGGTTTTTTTTTTTTTTTTTTTTTTTTTTTTTTTTTTTTTTTTTTTTTTTTT